TTTTATTGAACTTTCTTTTCTGTTTGAAATTTCTTTTTGCAGACAAATTTCATTGTTTATTTTCACTATTCATTTGATAAGTGTCATCCTTGGTTTTATGAGTACCAATTTGTGTGTCATTTTTAAATATATAAATTTTTTTTTAAAAAAACTTTGTATTATTTTTTATGTCAATTAAACTGAATACGCTATTAGTGGAGCACTGTACTCCAAGTAACTTGTCATAGAAAAATCATTTTATGACGGATGGAGTACACATTACAGAGTCTATGCCAGAGATTTACTGTTGCATCCAATCAGGGAATTGATACATGTACTTTGACCTATTTCCACGATTCACACAATGAAACTCTTATACGCTCACCACCACAAAAATTGGGCGCAATTCCCCAGCCTCCACTTTCCCTTTATCATTAGTTCTATCGGGCCAACATACTCAAACATTCTCCTTATTTCTACTTGGATCGTCTGGATGATAAATGGCTGGAAAGTAACATATGCTTCAGCGGTGGAGCTCGTACTTCTATGTCATCGAGTGAAAGACTTCTCGTGGGGCATAGGGTGTCACATACTTCCGACGGTATGGACGAACAGTAGCTCCTCTAGTACCATAAATCGGGTTTATTTGAGAAGTTTGCATTTGACCGATTTAAAAAAAATAAATAGGAGGCCAAAATAATTCTCAGTGTTATGTATATTGGGATCGTCATCACATTGCCACCATTCTCGATGTTATATATATATTGTTATCATATTGGTGATTTTATTGTCATTGCCTATTTTGTGTAATTGAGATACTTATAATAGATTGGACAAAAATTTGAATAGACATTGTCAAACGAGTAAGGATGTGCGGAGTGCAAGTAGACCTTTTTCAAATAGAATGAATTTAGGATGGGTATGGACAACAAGATTGAGTAATAAGACACTTGGGTTGAACTACATTAAAAGATTGAATCCAATCGATTAGTTAGTTCAACTCAAGAGCTTATATACCGATATGATTATTTTGCTCTTGAACTTTCGATGTGGGATGCCACTCTAACACTCCCCATCAAGTGGACAACCGGGGCATTTTGAATCTAACCGGTTGACCCCTTGCAAATAAAATCTCATTCTCTTGATTTTTTGAGCGCCAACACCTAAAGAAGCACGAGCTGCTGGGTATGGACTTTTAGCTAGACGATGTACTTACATAAAATGAAGGTGCACACCTATGATAAATACACAATTTGGGATACAAATAACTTAATCTTTATTTAATTTCCTAAAACATAGTGAGTCACTGTTTCGGATTCTAACGTGTTACCTTCCATTTGAAAGTAGTCAAAGTACCATAGTTAAATCGTTTGACAAGGTTGTACTCCGTATTTGGCTTTGTTATTATTGTTATTGTTATTATTATGTAAACCTTTAAAAGAAAAAGAGAATTAATGGTCTCAATTCTCAAAAGAACTTCTCCCCTGGCTTGAATGGTAGGAAGTCCACTCTCCTCGACTCATGGGAAAGTTCACTCAGGTTCGAGTTCCATCGGAGGCGGAGACAATTTTTTTTTGTTCGTCATTAGATTGAGAAAAATTTATTAATAGATACTAAATCATAATATATATAGTCAATAACATTCAAAAAATGTGTTCAAAAAACATAGGAATTAACTCAATTAATGATTATTACCATGAAATACGTAGTACACGGAGTATATATTCTCTCGTTTCATAAAATTATTTTCACTCCTTTTTAATGACCCAAAATTACTTTACACTTACTTCTTATTTTAGTAATGAATATATACCTACCCTGTCATTTCTCTTCTCCAAACAAATTCTAACTACATAATTTTTTTAGGAAAATGCTTGGTTCACAAACAAAATGGTCACAAACTTTACAAATTACCTAATTGTGAACTTCAATAAATAAAATTAAATAGTTTAAAATAATTTTAAAATTCAATCTATAAAATTAAAGTGTCAAGAATTAAATTGAGCAGAGAGAGTATTTCATGGTGTAAACTTTAAACTTGTGGATATTAATTAATGTAAACCGACCAAACCAAATTAAATAAAGATTTCTGTATATAATAAAATAAATAAATAAGTGCAAATAATTACGGAGTAGATAGCAAGGCCGCAAGAGTAGATGCAAGAATTTAAGATTTCATGTCGTCACAGCAAACTTGGTCTACTTATATTTAATTATTTTCCATATATTATCTTCATAGCTGGAGTATTTGTTCTGTTTTGATTTTTTACATTAAAAATTAACAAATATTTATCATTAATCAAATAAAATTCATACTCCAACCAATGTTGATACAAAGATTAATTTCTTAGTTTATCTTTTGCAACATTTTCAAAATATTTTTTTTATCAAATTGTTGTATCATATAATTTTTGAATTAATCATAGGTCAAAGATTGATCCTGATTATTACAAAATTCAAAACTGGACAAATATTCAAATTCAAAAATATTATTTTTTTCAAAATTTATAGTAAAAAAGAGTCAAAATTGAACAAAAAGAGTCAAATTGAGGCATTCATTTTCGGAGGGAGGTACTAGTATTAAGTATTAACAAGTCATGGTTCTGAAAATTAAAGTACAAGTTACATGGTTCTCAAAAAAAGGTAGAACGCTCACTCCAGGTGCCCCCACTCCCCGACCCGACAAAATTGTGAGGGGTATCTCAATCTGGTTCTTAGAGAGGCCGTCCTGTGACCATTATGTACAAGAAGTTATTACAAATAATAGAATTCTCGCACAGCTGCTGTCGAAATTTGACCCTAAGATCAATAATCTTGACATCTTCTCCTTGAATCAGTTGAGCCACTCTGTAAGCAAGTTACATGGTTCTCAAGAATACACAAGTCATGCAATGTGAGGGCAAAACTTACGCCCCGCTGGCATATTTCACTTACATTTGCCAATCTGTCAACAAGTGCTATTAAAAGAGCTCGCTTCTAGAATTATCCATAGAATTCTTTTTCTAGGTTGAGATCTATAATATATGTAACACAAATTCTTAGTGCATCTAAAGTACGTGCATGTGTTGTTGGATTTGGATATGTGGGAGAGGTAATTACAACGTTGCGTACAGCGTGGCACATGATTTCAAATTAAAGTTATTTTGGCGTATAATAAAATATTTTAATCGGATAAGACATATATAAGTATCTATAACGAGTATCAACATTCTATATATCTCTAGCATATATACCCTGTGACTCCGTGTATCTAGAGAGCGAAAATTAATCAGACGTGTCTGGGTTTGTGAAACAACACAACTTTTCGTGAAACATTTAAATATTTTGGATATCCTGATGGGTTTTGATCGAAATTTATTTTCAACTTAAAAATACTCTGTTTTTTTTTGACAAAATATTTAGTCTCAACCAAACGCATCCTGAAAGTAGAATATGAGAGTAACTTTTCTTTTCAAAAAAAAAAAATCAATGGTGGAATTGTAAAAGGAAAAAAATGGTAACGAATTCTTGAAATGCAAGTCAAGATGAGTGTACTGTCAGAGAGGCCATAACATTTGACTCTTATTTGAACACCAACCCCCACACTTATTAACTCCCTGCAGTAATAATGAGAGAGTAATAATCAATACTCCCTAGTCCCTATCAAACTACTCCCTCCGTCCCAAAAAAATGTTACATTTCATTTTTTGCGCATCACAAAAAGCACTGCTACTCACATTTAAAAATTCTAAAATTTACCATATTTACTCTTTATTGTAAGATGAAATTGTTTTGAAAGTTTTTTTTGGCATTTGAGACGATATAAAAGTGTTTTAAGGGATGTTTAAAAAATGAAACGTAACAATCTTTTTGGGACGGAGGGAGTACTACGTAACTCCTAATCCTTCCATTTCATATTTTGAATTCATATCATATTTTTTTCCAGAATTCATATCAATAAGGGTAGACATGTTGCATAGCAGCATATGGGATTGGTAGGATGTGAATAATAGACGAGATAACATACTTCACACATATATAAAATACTTTGCGATTAAAGTTATGTTAGAATTTTCTAATTAAAATATTTTAATTAATCAGATAAGATGTAAGCTTCAATAACAAGTATGAGGCTTTCTATGTAAACATACCATAAGACCTCTAAATCCTTTATTATAATAAAGGAGACTCAGATGCACGAGAATGCGACATTTGGCGCGCCTATTTGGCAAAAAATGAAACACATCATCAAGCCATGTAATAATAGAAAAAATCCTTTAATATAATAAAGGAGACTCGGATGCACAGAAATTCGACATTTGACATGTCTATGTGGCAAAATTTAAACATGTCAGCACGCTACGTAATATCCAAGTAAACCAGCGGAAATAAATTATATACGATGCACCAGCGGATCTCCTGTTGGAAACAATTGACCACAGATTTTCTACGTGATAATCTCTGGCCTTCAACAAAATTCTTTCCTTCAGATTACAACAATACGAACTCCTATTATGATGATAATATAAAATAATTAAAAATAAATATGAAAAAATATGAATACTATTTAAAAAACAAATATTATATTTTTAATTTAATTTAAATAGAATTTTAGGACCATGCTACATATATTAATCCTTTATCTTACTTCCATATTTAAAATTTACATACTTAAATAATAAGTTACAAAGGTTTATTGTGGAAATTCGTGTATAATAAGAGTTAAAATCAATAGAGTATCTATATTATTGAAAATTAGAATATTATTTTTTTACAAAAAAATATATTAAGAAACAATCCTAAATAATACTAAATTTGAAAATGATGATCACAAGTATATTACTCATCACCTTACTTATATTATTTATGTTGGATAATACTAATATTATTTTGGATCCGTTTACTTATATATGGAAATCCTTAATTAATTATGTGTCTTGGATAATCAATAATATTATATGTTAATATATGTTTTCAGATTACAATAATATGAACTTCTATTACGAAAATAATATAAACAATTAAGAATTGTTGGAACACGGGTTTACGCCTCCGTCGTACTAAACTGTGTTCGTCTTTATGACAGGTTTTGATAATGCCAAACCGCCGCGACATATCGAAGCTAAAGTGAGCAAAACTAAGGCGAAGGAACATGGCATGATGACTTGAGAACCAAGAACCCAGAATCAAGAACGAAGAACTAGAATTGTATTGAGTCGGTCTTAATGTGATCAAGACCGGCACAAAATTCCAAATCTTGGCTCTCTAGGCTCAATTCATAAAAATCTCTTTTACATTTTCAAAAATATTTTTCTTAAGTTTTAAACTTGGCTCAAAACACTTGGAGTTCGCCCAAGCCAAAAACCAAGCCATCCGGCGTTCGGCTTTCAGAAACCGACGTTCGGCTTTCGGTTTTCGGCATTGGTTTTTGGCGTCCGAACCAATCAAGTGGTTTTCAACCTTTTATGACTGGTTTTTACTTCTGGGCACATTTAAATAGTTCTCCAA